AATTACAATTACGATGTTTATTCGCGTTAACTTTATTAAAGTGAACATTCAATTCCTTTGCAAAATTAACATGAACAAAAACAAAAAACTGAAAACTTGAATCAATTACTTATCAAATGCTAACAAGAAAGTCTATCGCCTTACGACTAGGTTTTCCTAGTGAAAACAGGATTTTGAGCACTCAACAATTTTACGGATGGACGATGACTTTAGGAAGTATCCATTCGTTTTGTGCGTTTAAATCCATTGAAGCGATTCACATTGATGAGAGTTCGAGAAGATATGCGGCGAGTAGCTTCGCACCCATGATGTAGTTCCTCACATTCATTTTCTCGTTCTGTGAATGCGCCATATCATCTCCAGCGCCGATCGGTAGAAGCATCACATTATTGCCAGTCAACTCTTCGAATGTGAGCGTTATTGGAATACTACATCCTTCACGAGTATAATCCGGGTCAACACCAAACACTGAAACGTCACTTTTGTTATCATCAACTGGTCATTATCAGTTGCTATCACTGATTCTCTCGGAATGCAAGCAGACGGAATTAGAAGACTGAGGATATCACTGATGATAAGAGAGTGTTGCTGCCACATTGATCGTTCATGAAGGATGAGCGAGCATTCGAGCGCAATTCGAAACAAAAGAGCAACCAACCTCTTTTGATTGCACGAGCCCCGCACTGATAATGAGGATGCTTGAAATCGGTTAACCAATATCTGCCGGTATGGTTTTGATAAGCCCTTAAATTTTATTGAATACATCCATTCATTTCCGTTGTACATTTTGCTATAGCAAAAATCTCTTTAACAATTCAATGCAGATTTATGCATTGATTNCACATTGATTACCTGTATTGGTTGGGTGATCCTCGTTGTTCCCATAGTTTGTCCAAGTATCCAAGCACAAGCTTCTCGACCGTCTCACCATCCATATTCGGAACTAGTCGAATACTGAATTTACCAGTGCACTTTGCTGGAATAATCGTTTTCGCACCTTGTCCATCGAATGCACCTTCCACACCTTCAAACTTCCACACTCTTTTAATTGAAACACCCAGTAATGCTCACACTTTTGGCTGGACATATGGCTCATCTCAAGATTCGTGGCTTTAAATTGAGTTCATTTTTTGATTTACCACTGTGATAAGTTTATCATTCAGCATTATGTTCCTTTAGAATTCATAACGTTGACGAGATATTCTCTAATGACCATTAGAACTGACTGAAATCGTCGCTGATATAACAAAAGGTGACAATTCATCAGCAAACTTATTTCCAGGTTTTAAATTGAGACGACTTGAAAGAGGAACCCTTTCAATGCATACCATGAATAGAAAGCGATGGATAGCGCCACATATTCATAAGGAGTTCAGACTTCGAATGACGATTCAGTTGCTTTGCACCAATCGTCATTCTGTATTCTTCCTGCAACATGTTATAGCTTTTTCGACGGCGGTATTTTGACAGATCAATAGTAATTGATACTGAACATAGGCAAGAAATGACTAATGTAAGCAAGAATTTAATGAGACGAAACTGCAGAATAGATGAAACATGGTGAGTAATTTTTCTAAACAGCAATTGGTAACAGAGTGAAGCGATGAGAAGATTTAGGGCAGCAGTTCTCAGATGGGTTGAGATTACCAACTTTGGGTAATTTGGAGGTGTCAGAAGGGAATGGATGAGGTCGGGAAATTAGTATTTCTTGCAGTTGTTAGTTACGATAGAACGCCATTTGGATGGTGTATTTTCCACTTGGATATCTAAACGCGGCTGGTTCATGAAAACACTGAAGTGGTTATTTTACAATATCAAAAAAAAACATTTCAAAAAGTATGGTAGTGAACGAGACCTCATCGAAATCGATAGACTCATAAAGTTTCCTCTCCTCTACAGTGACTTTGCTGACAAGGTCATAAAGGCCATCAATACGAATGGTACCATCAAGATCTGTCAATTGTGACAACATCCACATCACATCCGCGAGTGGTTCATAGCTGCAATGTTTATTACAACGGCTAACTGTTGATTTCAACTTTATTGCTTACCGTTAGTGTATATCAAATGAAAATGCTCTGTTTTGGATGTAAAATTGCGTTGTGATTGAAGATTATTTCAGTTTGTTTTGAGAATCACAAGAAACGCACATTAGAATCGAAGCATTCAGTGGAAGCTCGAACCTTGTCAAAGGTCTCATCAAATCAACTTACACACTTCCGCCGAATGTTCCTGAATGAACGTCTTGCTTGCAACCAATCACTTCGATGCTAAAGTAGCTCACGCCTCTGAAATTCATTCGAATCTTTAGAGGTTATCAATTGTCAAATTATTTACTGATTGGTAAAACTTATCGATAAAATTATTCTCAAGCATTTTGGACAGATTGAAACTCCAGAAAATACTATTGCTGTCGTCAGTTGGGCTAGATTTCATTGATCTACTGCTCAGATCGGTAGTGATTTCGTTGAATCGGTGCTAATTCGCATGTGACTCATCCTTTGATGCGTTAATTTCTTGTTTNAACTAACCTCAGTCCGTAGGTGATGCAAGGTTTCTTAGTGCCAAGCCAGTAATTATCGGATATGCACGTGAAATCTACGTCAGCCAGCCACGTATCCTTACGTTCTCTTAAAGCTTCTTCCAAGCCTAACGATCCACTCTCCTCCATGCCTTCCAAGCAAAACTGTAAAATTTCAAAATTTTTATGCGTATCAATGATTCGTCTAAACTTGATCAACTCCTATTTCTTGCAAATATTAACTTTAGCTGTCCGAATCGCAATATGGATAGCTACGACCAACTGGTGTCCCGTTTGATGCTTTTTAATGACTATAAATATTTGGTGTTTAAGTATTTTATCACATTCGAGCAAAATTACTGTCAAGATTGAAAGCTTTAAAGATTTTTAGATGTGATCGGGAGAATGATCGCGCACTTTTTTGGATTAAAGCAGAAACAAGAACAAACTTTTATATTGACAGGAATATTAATTTTGCAGTGTTGGAATGTTTCAATTGCGTTTATCCAACCCAATATTGGTCCTTTATCATCTGTTGATCCACGCCCATACAACTTGCCATTCTTGAATAATATTACATTTATACGCTTGTATTGTGGCCGAAATTGAGACTAATCGATTCAAAATGTACTCAACAATACGACATTGAACAGTTCCTTATAGGCAGATGATAAAGTATTGATGTCAAAGTATAAGCAGTACAATATCTTTCGATATTTTTTAGCTTCATTCTGTACAGTAATATGCGAGTGATTCATTTTTACCAAGTAATTAGGAAGGCAAACGCTTGTGCCATACTTCTTATCATACGCATTCCCTGCTTATTTGAATTCACTTCTGTTGCAAAGTAATTCATTCACCTTTTCGTGCAGTTCAAACGGTTCAGTATGCCATCCATCTTCTTTTTTGGCCGGTTGTACATCCAAATGTCCATAAACGAGCAAAGTCTTTTTGTTAGGGTCAGCACCCAAGTTCGCAAACAATGCCGGCGGTAATTTTATGATTTTACCATTCGGTAGCTTCTGCGTTCCGAGTGGAACGCATTCTGCAGTTGCGCCGAGTGACTCTAATTTCTGGAATTTTCAATTAATTTTACACCAATTGGACCTTCAGATCAAGTAACGTTGTGGGTAAAATGGTTCTCGTTAGTATGAGAGTCTTAAAAGATTTCAGCTATATTTAATGCAGTCTTGAACACTTATTGAATGGTGCAGAGAATCTTGAAAAATTGAAAATTAAACACAAAANAAAAGAGACCTTTTTGGCCCATTCAAGCATTTTGACGACATCCTGCCGATGTTCCGGTTCAGCTGATACACTTTGAATTGCGACCGCTTCACGTAGTCGATCAATGTAGACCTTTGTGTTTGCATCAATTGCTCTTTAATGAATTCGTTTTTTCATTAATTACTATCACTCAAATAATTACTTACACTCACAATTGAAACAAACTAATTGTAAGAAGTATTTATGTTTGGCACGCATGTATCTATGTGCTTGCGTTAGGGACTTGTATCAAGACTCAAATTCTTCACTGTTCAAAACACCGTGAATCCTCTCATCCAGTAATCCCATAGGTTACAGTGAAATTCACCCAACAACTCTGCATCTGTCACGAAGTTTCCGAAACGTTAGAATGACAGCTGTGAGGCTTACTTTGAGATCGCTTCGTAGTGCCTTGCAATGGACATCTTCGGACGTAATCAAAAGCTGAAACTATTTTACTTAAACATTTGCTAGTTCTGAATAGCAAATATTCGATCAGCGTTTAAAGAGTTCTCCACATCTCAAATTGCACGTCAATTCCACAAATTTGGGATCAAAATTTCAAACGTAATTGTTATTTATGGTGATTGTGAAGTTTAATGGCGAATTTTTAGAGTTAACTACGCAAGTGTATCGCTTGAAATGGCAATAAATAAGTATTATGTGAAGAGCAATAAAGTAATAAATATTATATCTGCAAATAGTTGAAGGAGAGAATACCGAAATCATTTTGCTGAATTGATGTGATACGATCCGAATTTTGTGTCTACACAACAATAAATGATAACCAGTGCACATCATAAAAAAANAAAAAAACAACAATTCAAGTGATTTGAACCTAACAAACTGATAAATGAATGCATAATGCTACATGTTTACGTGTTCATTGTTCGTCTTATGCAGAATTTCAGTCCAAAAAAGCAGTAAACAATACGTATTAATGCATAAATCAGTAGCAATTTATATAATGATAATTTCAAACGAATGAACAGATTTTCATGAGAAATGTGGAATCGCTTCCGAGTTTTGACTGCAGCGATCATTTCCTATAATCTCAAATGATGTTCTGCACCAATATAAGTGCAACACCCCTTGTGAAAATGGTTATGGATGGATCGTCGGTGGACTGACTCGAAAACATCTTCAACGGGTTTTTTCTTGGATGGAATATGGCTTACTTCGTCTGCAAATGATGAACGGTTGATGTTGGCTACTCTCATAGTGCGAAAAAATTTGTTACAACTGTATTGCTGTGTGTAAAGTGATAAAATACATTTTCAAGGGCAGTGATTGTCTGACTAAACACAAAATTCACACATCAATTCAGTAGCTTATTGGTCCGTAGGTCACTTTTTTTGTCCATTCCTTGGCTGCATACATAAAATTTCCACTGTATCTGATAACAAGAGTGCATCAAAAACCAACAGAAATTCGATAGAAATGAGTTCAGAAATAAAGCAATCCTTAAATGCTCAAGTTCAACAACTCATAGCAATCTTTAATTCAAATCTTCAATTGTTGTTGAAGACCTCAATTATAATGAGTTGATAATTGAGGTCTTCAACATCAATTGAAGATTTTTTGATCTAAAGGTAGCCGCAAATGTCTTCCAAAAGCCATATCATGTGAAACTGATGCTTTTTTCTGTTTCAAACGTGTAGCAAGATTCTTGACTGGTCTGTGAGGATGTAAAACATTATCAAAAGAAGTATTTGTTAGCATAAGGTATGTTAGCAGATTTCTAAAATAGAAACATGACAACGATTTCAAGCCAACTACATATTGTGCAAACATATCTCATGATCTGAATCCAGACAAGCTGGTGCGTGCCCCTTTGCTCCCATGTCCCCACCTCTTCACCATCGGCTACGCGTATGACTTCATCACAGAAAACCACAATCGTTCATGTCGGACAATTTAACAATTATCCTGAATCAACAAATTCAAATGGTTCAGCATATGAACCATATCATTTAATGAGACCTTCGAAAAAGGTCTATTTTTAGGTCTTTTTCAGAAGCGTGAGCGATAATCGAGGATGGAATGGGCGAATGAAGTTAACGTCATGCGACCATGATTTTTTTTCTGATTTTAAGTTGATGAGTAGTAACATATCCTGGGTGTCATATTTATGAATTTGCCGTTTTCAAGCCTTTGAAATGCTTAAGTTTGCGCAAAACAGTTCCGATATTTTTACCGAAAAATTAGAAAAGTGATGAAACAAGAAGGAGCCATTTATAAATAACAATTTTATCACTCAGTTAATCTTTTTTTCTAACGGAGATGGAGAACGTCAGCGGAAAAAAACGTAATATTAAAGTTAAAATTAGTTGAGATGACAAGATAAAAACACGACGACAGAATAAGGAACACAGGTAGAGTTTCGCTATTGTTTTGCAGAAAGAGACGTATGCAGGGTAATGTAAGGTGAACAAAGCCTTTGAGACATAACAACATTGCATCTTCATAAATTCAGCAGTTTATAAGCTCTTCACTTTCCAATTTTGAATGTTTTATGTCTCGTTGGTCGTTCGTTCATACACAAATTAGATACAAAATAAGCAAAATGATAAGCGAATACTACAAAAATACAACTGTTTGACAGATAAAATTTGCAGCCATCTTGACAAAAAAAGTAATTGCTAT